CAGCTCCCCTTTCCTCCACGGCCAGCTCAGGCCCCCGCCAGGTCATCCCCAGTGCAGGCTGTTCCCCAGGCCACAGGACTCCACCAGCAAGGCCCTGGTGGAGACTGCGAGCCGTCAAGAGGGGAGCTGGGTCTTGGGCCCTGGCCAGGGCAGCACCCATGGAGCAGGCCAGCAGTGGGGCTGATGGGGGCCGTGGAGCAGAGCAGGCCCAGTGACCACATCTGAGTCCAAATGCCTGGCGGTGGCTCTTGGACTAGTCACCTCTGGCCTCAGTTTTCTCATCTATAACGTGGGCGTTGGAATGTACACCTGACAAGAAAGCAGGGTGCTTTCAAGGAGTCCAACTACAGCAAGTTCCCAGGCCGGGCCAGGAAATGCCCAGATGAAGGGAACTATGACCTGGATGGACATCAGGGCCAGCCACTGCCAGGAGCCCATAACCCTCCTCCAGCCCTGGTGCAGACTGCACTGGCCAGAGAGGCTGCCCCAGCGGCGGAGCTCTGCACACCTGGGAGTGAATCCACATGGCCCCAGATCAGCACTCCAGCGTCCTGTCCCCTGTCCGTCCTGCCCTCCCAGTAGGGACCGCCCCCACACGAGCTCCCGCCTCCCAGAATGCCTTTACCATCCAGGCCAGGGAAGCGGACAGGCCCTGGGATTCTGTTCAGTGGACCTGCAGGTGTGGCAAGTCCTGAAAGACCTGCAGGATGGAGGCACACGGGGCCACGGCCCCTGCAAGCAGGCAGCTTTGAGGAGGAAGGGCAGAAAGTGGGCAGAGGGGCTGTGATGGGCTTGTCCCCGCCTGGGGGAGTGCCAGGCTTACCTGAGACACCTGCTGGGAGAGGAGAAGCCTCTGCTCCCTGCACCCCTCCAGCCCCACCCACAGGCTCGCCCAGCAGATCCTCCTCCCCACACCCCCACCCTGCCCTGCAGGGAGAGGTGAGAGCCAGGGCCTCCAGGCAGGGTCAGGAGGAGTCAGCCTGCCCCAGACCTGCAGGTAACCCAGACAGCCCCCGTCCTCAGGGCTGCTTCCTGAACATGCCCCCTGTCCCCGCTGGACGGAGGACTGCTCTGCCTGAGCTCACACCCTGGAGTGGGCCACACCCGTGCCCAGTGACCAGCAGGCAGGGGCAGCTGCTTGTGCTGGCACTGTATGTTTGGCAGGGACCCTACCTAGAGTCATTCCCCCAAAGGAACCCTGCCCCAGGCCATCCCGCTCCAGAGGTTCAGTGCCCTGGGGAGCTCGCAGGACCAGTGGACTCAGGAGGGTCTCCGCCTCGGAGCCCCAGGAGAGGCCAGGGTCCTGTTGGGAGCCAGTCCAGAAGCCCTGACGCCCCCTGAACAATAGGAGTGTTTTCCTTTCCATGATAAGTGAGTCTGAGTTAACAGTTCCCAAGCTCCGCAGTGGGGAGGGGACAGCTGCTGGGCAAGTGACAGCTCAAAATGAAACCCAGAGCCTCACAGTTCAGCAGGGGCTGTCCCCACCCAGGCCCCCACCTGGGCCACTCAGGCCTGACACTCATAAGCCCAGGCCCCCTCAGGACTCCTAGAATTTGACCCTGACTGGTCACCAGGGGACTCATATGTCAATCCTACCCATAGGGTCCCCAGCTCAGAGACTGACCCCCACCTCACTCCTGCTCTGGTTGGGTTCCTGGTCCTACCAGGCCAGGGAACGTGGCAGAGCAGAGGGTCACCATGGCTGGCAGGGCAGAAGCTCCCTCTTGGGTCTCCCTTACCCACCCAGCTGCCCGTTGGCAGCCTGGGGCCCCGGGGCTCTGCTCGCCTCCTGGCTGTCCCTCTGTCCCTCAGCACACACTCACCTGGACAAGTGCTGCCATCTGCGCCTTCCAGGCCAGCTGCTCTGGGAACCTCATCCCAGTAATTCCTCCCAAAAGCCACTGTGAGAAGCAGGCACTATTGTCACCCCCTGCACAGAGGAACAGAGACACAGAGAGGCAACTAACTGGTCCAAAGTCACACGACACTGAGATGGCAGAGCTGAGCCCAGAAGGGTTCCCAGAGCATCCTGGGGACCAGTTACCTGCTGAAAGGCAATGAGCTGAGGGCCCAGGGAACCCGGGGCACAGAACTGAACAGAAGATCACGGACAAGATCATGGTGGTATCAGAGAGTGATTGTGGGGAAGGGGACAGTAGAGGGACATGTTTGAGCTGTGATCCCTCCCTTCCTGGTTCAAGCAAAACAGACATGTGAAGGAGCCAGATTTTACCACAACCAGTATGTTCCTCACGCCACCCCCACTGCCACCCGGCAGGAGGGAACACCCGCCACCTCTTCTCCCTCTGTCCCACCGTCCAAGGACCAGTGGGTTTGCTTCCACCTCTTGAGAGCTGGATGGAGGGCCACAGGGTACCAGGAGGTCATATAGCCTTCATGGAGTCCAGTCTCTTAGGAGCCCTCAAAGGGTTAACTCCCTCCTGGGCCGGCCCTCCCTGGAGGCCAGGGATTTCCTCCTGGTGTATATTTTGCATTCTTCATTTGTCCTAATTGGCTTGTTTAATTACTAGCTGTGAGACTTTGGGCCAATTAGCCAACCTCTGTGCTTTGTAAATAGGAATAATAGCATCACCTACTATATAAGACTGACGTGAGAACTAAATGGAAATACTGAGGACAGAGTGCCCAGGCGAAGCATGTGTTTCCTACCCAAGAACTTCACAGATTTTATCCCAAGTAAGAAGTCCCAGTGGTCTCCACCGCTGTCAGGATGCCAGGTTGGCTGCTCATCTTTCATTCCTCTCTGGCCCTTTCCAGAGGGCTCAGCCCAGCAGTTAAGCACACCTTCCCACTTTTCACTTCTCTCCATTCCCGGTGCTCACTGGAGCATCTTCCCGTGGCCCAGAACACTCTCGGTAAGGGCTTGGAGGCCAGGGGAGTGCAGGTACATAGGTTGCTGTCCCGCGCCCTTGCATCCCGACCTCGCAGATCTGCAGCAGGCTCAGGGCCCGGATGCACTCAGCTCCCTCCCTATGAGGCTCACTGCCTAGAGAGACAAGGAATGCAGATGAAGTCGGGTGGAGCAGGGAGAGTGAGAAGCAGAGAACCGGGACCTTGGGGGCAGGGGAAGGAAGAAGTTACTATAGGTGGCACAGCATGTGGGGAGGGCACTGGGAGTCTGTAAAGACCGTAGAAAGGTCTCCAAGTTCCCCATCCCAAAGGACACGCTCCTCCACCTCAACCCTCCGCTCCTAGTCTCCACGTATATAGTCCAGAACCTGCCCTCAAGTCCTTGGTGGAGTCCAGGGTGCAAGCGGGGACCTGTGCAGCCTGATCTGGACCTTCAGCCCTGGAGGCTCCGCCCACACGGGCACCTCCACCTGCACAGGGAATCTGAATGCTGCTGCTGAGGAGGAAAGCACCGGGGATCTGCGAGCCCAGGGCTGCCCCAGGTCCCACAGGAATGACAGAGTCCACTGCGGAGGCGCCCCAGGCTCCACAGTCCCTGAGAAACCCACAGCAAGGTCCTTCAGGGAAGTCCCCAGGACTAATCACAGTGCCTTCCTAACCCCCCAAGTCTTTGCCCCCAGGGAGAGAACCCAGTGTCTTCTCCATCCCTGGGCCGGCTGAGCTAAGGGATGGGCTCGGCAAAGGAGAAATTCTCTGCTTAAGCATTGCCTTCAGTCCAATGGTCCAGGACCCCTGTGGAGTGCTGATCTCTCTGTCCAGGGCCTAGGGGTGACATCAGGGTGACCAACGACACTGGGGAAGCTGAGCAAGGAACCAGGTTGGAAGAATGGGCCGGCTGGGTTTGGAGGAGGAAAGCCTCATCACCCGGGTAGCCTTCCATCCATGGAAGTATATTTGGCACCTGGAGAACACTCCTCCTGAGTTCCCTGACTTCCCTACACCTAACGGAGTGAGGGCTTAGAACTAGGCTGGGCCCTTGGGAGCCACAGTGCACTCACAAGGCACCTCACAAGCCGGACACTGCTGACCCCACACATGCCTCCCTGAAACCCCCACCCTAATGACCCTGCTTGTCCAAAAAGAGGAAACTGTTGGACTCCGGCAGGACTTCATGCGAGTGCTGGCCAGTGGTACACCCAATGGAGTCCAGGATCCCTGAGAGAAACCGTCCCAATGGAAGCAGGATCCCTGCACGGCCCCAGGAGTTCAGGGGCGCAACCCGGCTCCACACCGCGGAAGCATCCAGCGTTGGGGCCGGGATCCCGGGCTCAACCACCAGGCACTCAGCCACCAGCCTTGAACAGGATCCCCAGGCAGGCAAGGAGGGCTGGGACCAGTAAATTCTATGAACAAATTTTAAAGAAGTCTCTGCTCTTGGCTCCCGCTGCCCCACCGAACACGAGACACGATGGCGTCCCCTTCATTTGTTGGGGCTCAGCTGTGAGTGTCTTGTGCCTCTCGGTTGCCGAATCCAGCGAGCTGGGCTGGCTCGGGTCACGTGGTCCTGCGGCCAGAGCCCCAGCGCTGACCCCGTGGGGAGGGAGGGGCGGGCGCCGAGAGGCAAGGGGCGGCGCAGCAGGGGCTGGGCGGGACGGGGCGGAGGGGCGGCCCGAGCGTCCGGGGTTCCCTGCAGAGGCCACTCTGGGCCGAGGATCCCAGTCTCCAGGCAGCCCGTAGCCGACCCTCGGCAAGCACCGCGCCCTCCTGCCCTCCTGTCCGCCGGTGAGTGCTCCTGAAGGGCCTGCCTTTGCGGGCCCCGCCCCAGTCCGTCGATCTCTCCCAGAGCTGTGGGGCCCGGCTCCGGAGGCCCTGCGCTGGCTGACGTCCGGGCCGGTCCTTCCCAGCCCCCACTGAGCCCACCCCAGAGCCCTATCTGGCCCAGACAGCGGAGGAGGTGAGCTCCGCGTTAGGAATGCACCCGGGATGCGGGGCAGGGCTCGGGGGCCATTCCGCCTTCGTTGTTCCTCCCCGAGGATCCTGAGACCTGCCCGGGATCCTCCCTGGCCTAGGAGTTAGGTGAACGGACTGAGCGACAGCACCTGCCCGGCACAAGCGCGGGCGATGACAGAGGGTGCCCAGCGGCCGTGAACTCGACACTGGTCCTCGTTTCCTGCAGGTCGGGACCGCTCCCGGGGAGATGTACCAGAGCTTGGCACTGGCTCCGAGCCCCGGCCAGGCCACCTACGCCGACTCCGGAGCCTTTCTGCACGCTGCGGGCGCAGGATCCCCGATGTTCGTGCCGCAGGCGCGCGTACCTTCCATGCTGTCTTACCTGCCGGCGTGCGAAGCGGGCCCACAGCCCTCAGCGCTCCCTGCGCACCCGGGCTGGGCGCAGGCGGCCGCCGCGGACTCCTCGACCTTTGGTTCTGGTAGCCCGCACCCACCGGCCGCGCAACCGCCGGGGGCCACCGCCTTTCCATTCGCGCACAGTCCCCCCGGACCTTGCAGCCGCAGCGGCGCTGGGAGCCGGGACGATGGCGTCTACCAGGGCACACTTCTGGCTCGCGATCAGTACACCGCCTCGCTTGGGCGGCCAGTGAGCGCCTCATATCCCACAACCTACCCGACCTACGTGAGCCCCGACGTGGCCCAGTCTTGGACCGCGGGACCCTTCGATGGCAGCGTACTGCACGGCCTGCAGAGCCACCCGGCTGGCCTCCCAGGCAGCAGGGCCACTTTCGGTGAGTGCGGGACTCGGGCGCAGCTCCATTGACGTGGGTGCTCACCGAACCCGGGTAAGCCCGTACCCTGAGAAATGCTACACACACACACACACACACACACACACACACACACACACCAATCAGGGACAGGTCTACTCGAGCAGCCATAGCCCAGACGTCCTGGGGCTTGTAAACCTCCGGGGAATACCGTGCCTCACCTACCCTTGAAGAAAACCTTGTATACAGAATTCTTTTTTAATATGATAATAAGAAAGTACATAGATTTCTGCCATTCATTTATCCGAACCCAAGGCAGCATTCTAGGTCGTGCCAATTTCGAGACTACGTTTTAAGTATTTTTTGAAAAGTTTGGCAATGATTTTTATAAAGTTCAAAATATCCGTTCATTTAAGTAAGTCGCCACATTCGTCCTCTCTGTCGTGGAATGTTTGCATTCTAATTTGAACCCTGGTTTCGATCGTTCCCTGGAGCATAAATTCGGACAATCGAATTCTAGGCCTGTGAAGCGGGGAATCGCTCACCCGGTTTCTGAGTATACTCGGCAGCACACATTTTTGCCCGGCGCAGCCGAAAACCGAAGGCCTCGCCTCTGTGCTTGCAACCCCAGACCCCCTCTGAGTTACCCCTCCGGGGAACTGGAGGCAACGCCCTGCTCCTGCCGCCTTTTGGCCCCCGGGCCCCGAGCGCAGGAAGCGGGCTCTGGCCCCGGCGCCCAGCGCAGCCCAGTGCCTGGCGCCCACCCCCGGCAGGGCGATGATTGAT